GGATGTCCGGAGCTGTGATGTGGGTGTCTTATCTCTTATCGGGGTGGGGGTTGGGGTTGCTAGTGTATGTGGGTGTTGTAGGGGGGGGGGGGGGGCGGTGGTAGTGGAAGGCTCTCTCGGGTGGCGGGGGGTTGCTGGGGTGTTTCTGGTCAATGGGGGAGGCAATTTTTGTGTTACCTAGGACAGCACGAAACCTAAATACACCACTGGGCACAGTACAGTGAGTAAAGTTGTTACCCTAGCCTAGGACAAGACACAAAATGAATTCAAGCACAGCATCTATGCACTGGTAAGCAGCATTATATTGCAGTTTTGTTCTGGGCTATAGAGATTCTTTATTCCTGACCTGTAGTATTAGTGCAAACCTTCTGTTGAGTCAGGGAAGCCTAGAAACTTGCTGTAACATTGTACTCATCTGGAAGAACAAGGCAATCATGCATAGCAGAATGTGAAAAGGAATCGGAGAAAAGATTGGCCATGGTCACATTCTACTGACATTCCTTCTAGGCGGCAGATTCCTGATGGCAGGTTATTGGTTTATTGGCCTCATTCAGAAAACTCATTAAGCCACACTTACTGCCTTTAATAAGCGTGCAGTTTATTTGTGAGCGGCCATAGCGGGTCCGCTATTTGGTATTTGTTAGGCAGCCAAACAATATAAAATGCTGCAGACTTCTAGGAGACGTGCTGATTGATATTGTTCAGACACAGAAACCATGACTGCAGCTGATGATTATTATCAGGGGTTCTTTTCCCTGGGGCACATTTAAAGGCAAAGTTCACCAAGGGGTAAATTAGGTTTGAAGGATAATAAGGGTACCTGTGCTTCAAAATGACCTCTGCCTCCCGCTATACTAATCTGAAAATCTAAGTAGTGCAGCGCTAAAAATAAAATATGAGAGTATACCAATGGTAATATGCAAAATAACAAATATGCAGCAAATATTAAAGCAACACAATATGTCCTTAGGAAATTGTAGCAATGGTGAAGCTATGTCAAATACCATCACTGATATTGTAATACAGTAGTATAACACACGGTGCAAATAATAGTCCAGAATAACTATGAATGGTAAACCACAATATAATTGAAAAATGGTGACTTGATAGAATCCCACTGGAACCTGTGATCCGGTGCAGTGCAGGAACAATAAGTAAATTGCACACTCACCAGAGGCACAATTTAACTGCGCAATTGTGTCATGAACACCAGAGGTCCCTTTGGTTGTGGATGGAGCGTGGCCTGGATTGGATAACTCCGCGATAGGTAATGGAACGTCTGGGGGTCCCCTAGATGAGTTTGGTTCACGATGGGTTCTGCCGATTACAGCTCTCTTCTAGGCCCTGGGATGGTCACCTGGTGGTCCTTTTCGTAGAGCGGGTCTTGTGTCACCCCATGTGGTAGGTGTTACCAGGTGCAGCGCGCACCCCCTGCATCTGCCTCGGGACGCCACTGGTTGGAGGTGAGAGTTCTGAGAGCACAGAAGTGGCACTGTAAAAAACAATGATTTTCTTACACCTCTCTACTGGAATTTTGGACCACTCTTCTTTCGCCAACTGCTCCAGGTTTCTCGGGTTGGAAGGGTTCCTTTTCCCAACTGCTGTTTTGAGATCTCTCCTCAGGTGCTCCTATGGGAGGAGGTCAACAGGCTCTTTTTCAATTATATTGTGGTTTACCATTCATAGTTATTCTGGACTATTATTTGCACCGTGTGTTATACTACTGTATTACAATATCAGTGAAGGTATTTGACATAGCTTCACCATCGCTACAATTTCCTAAGGACATAACCCCAGAAACCACTAAACAGCTCATCCACTCCCTCATCATATCACGACTCGACTACTGCAACTCCCTCCTCACTGGCCTGCCTCGCCGCTGGCTATCCCCGCTTCAGTCGATCCTGAATACGGCTGCCAGACTCATTCACCTTTCCAACCGCTTCGTTTCCGCCACCCCCCTCTGCCAATCCCTCCACTGGCTTCCGATTGCCCAACGGATCAAATTCAAAATCCTAACACTGACGTACAAATCTGTCCACCATACTGCCCCGTACTACATCACTGACCTAATATCCAAGTACCGCCCAGCACGCACACTCCGCTCCTCACAAGACCTCCTTCTCTCTAGTTCCCTGGTCTCCTCCTCCCATGCCCGCCTCCAGGACTTCTCCAGGGTGTCACCAATCCTCTGGAACTCCCTTCCCCAACCCATCAGATTATCACCTACTCTCCTCTCCTTTAGGCGCACCCTGAAAACCCATCTCTTCAGGGAAGCCTACCCCCTGCTAACTTGACCGACCTCCTCCACTCTTCCTACCACTCCATCCCCCACAGCTATCTCCTCCTGTACCACTATCCCGTCCCTTCTAGATTGTAAGCTCGAAAGAGCAGGGCCCTCGATCCCCTCATGTATTGTATTGTATTGGTATTGTTCTGTCACATGTTCTGTCCCCCTGCAAAAACTGTATCTGCTGACTTTTAAAATACAGACACTTATATGTCCCTCGGTCCAGCAGTGTCCTCACCACCGCTGGTTTCACTGGCGGTCTTCTCTCCATAGTGCCGGCATCTTTAGTATGGGCACCTGGCTGTGACAGCTTGCGGCTTCACAGCTGGGTGTTCATTGCGTATGCACGAGAAGCGCTGCACTTTGTGAATGGCCCCATAGTCTTCTGGGACCTGTCACATATTCCAGAAGACTACGGGGAGGGAGAACAAGAGGGTACCTGTCAAATTTGGGTACCCGCTCCGCAAAGGTGCCAATCGTTAATGGGGAGCGGGGGACAAAGCATTAAAGCGGAACTTCCCCTTTTGGGTGGAGCTCTGCTTTAAAGGGTAACTCCATTTTTGTTGAGAAAAAAACATTCCCCTCTGGGTGATCAATGTACATTGCAAGGCTTTTAACAGACGTTGTTACGGATTCCTACCTTTTTCTGCTCTGAAGAATAAGCTGTTTGTTTGTCCATGTGAAAAGTGAATGTGAATGGGAGGGATTTTTTTCCTGCTGATAAGCTGCACTCACAAGGTTCTAATGAGGAAAGTGGCAGTGGCTGAATCCCTTGTTTGTACCTATCAAGGATTTACTGCTCTGCTCAGCTGCTGGGAAAAATTCCTGATTAAGGAGATACCTTGCCAATGGGCAAAGTGGTCCCCCTGACCGCCTTACCAGTGCCCCTCCACTGTTCTTTCCTGCAGCTGGTAACACTACTTGGGGAACTCTCCCCTCCTCTCCTTTGCAGCAAATCGATAGACAAGGTCAGGTTGGGCATTTTTGCTTGCATGGAATATCTCTTTAATTCAAGTCTTCATCAGCCTGATTGTTTTAGGTCAGAGACCAAGCCGAGCTGGACTGATGGAAGTATGGAAAAAAGATCATTCCTGGAATTCCACTTTAAACTTTCATGAAATAAGCAGTTCTTTCCCCGACAATTATGACTTCAAACCAATAATTTTTAATGTCTGTTTTTTTGTAGAAATGCGATGTGGGAATTTCCATTCATTTCTCACGCGTGAGTCATACAGGAATGAGGGGAGTACAGGATAAGACTGTTCCAACGCTACGGTTTTATAGTCAGGTCAGGGAAACACATCCATGAGAGACGGGATTGTCCTGTTTAATGTATTAACAATCTTGGCAATGGCATTCCTGCAAACTAATGCTTTATTTTAATGGGTATAGTTGATATATCCGGCAGATAACTGGTAGGTTAGGTTCTTGATGGATATTTTATCTCAAATAGTCTTTCTAGCTGGTCTCAGCTTTTGAGATAAAGAACTATGGGGCCCACCAGTCTCAGGATTGACCATTTACAGGTCGTGAATTAAGAAACAGCAGTTCTAAGCAACTAGAAAAATCAACCAGCAAACAAATAATGCTGTACATGACCTGTCACAAACTCTGCCAAAATCAAAAAGTCCATGGCGGTAACTGGAACCTGTCATTAAACACCACATTAATTGGAAGGTCACATTTCAGTAGTATAAAACTCATCATTTATGGATCCTAGCACCAAAGATAATGAAGCAAATGGCTATGTGAAGCAAATGTTCTGCTTGTTTTCAGTTCTTGTCTGCTGTCACAGTGCAGATCAAGACATGGTGAGTGTGAACAATGCATGCACTAGTCTGGGCCTGCACTCATAGTACATGGACCTTGAGCCCGGGTTCACACTGATGCGGTGCGGAATTCACAGCGTTTTCAGTTTGAATTTCGCACCGCATCAGGATCACACCCTGTTAAGTTAACAACACCCCGAAAGCGGTCCGCAAACGCGGTGCGATCTGCAGAATCGGATCGCAAAGGTGTGAATACCTATGTGATCCGGTTCTAGTGCGGACCCAAAAAAGGGTCCTGCACGTTTTTTGGTGCAGGTGCGGTGCGAATAGAGACATACAAAATTTGGGGCTCCAATCGCACCGCATACAAATTGCATGTGATTTGTACAGGAATGCGGTGCGGTTCCTGAGCAAATCGCATGCTATTGACTGCACCGCACTGATGTGAACCCAGGCGTAGAAACATTAGGCAGAGGTAAGAGGCTATAGTTACATGGAATACTTAACTTTTTTTTCAAAGGGGCAATATATTTTAAACAGCTGGTATGCTTTAAAGTGGTAATAAACTCTTCTTTAACCACTTGCCCTCCTGAGGATTTACAGCCCTTCCTGAGCAGACCATTTTTTGCGTTATGGTGCTGCATTACTTTAACTGACAATTGCGCGATCACCTGGGTGCAACGCTGCACCCCAATGAGATTTATGTCCTTTTTTTTCCCACGAAAGACCGACAATTTTGAGAAAAAAAAACAATATTTTTGACTTTTTGCTATTAAACATGTCCAGGAAAAAAATTAAAAAATCAAATTTCGTCATAAATTTAGGCCAAAATGTATTCTGCTACATGTCTTTGCTAACAAAATCCCAATACATGTGCACGCCCCCTACCCAGAAATGCAAAATCACATGTGTATATATGTCAGAATACCAGGCCGGCCGCTCAGCTCTGCAGCGGGACCTTATGGAGATGAGTGCTGACCTTTGGGGAGGTGGGGAGCGGGTACCTGAATTTGACATGTACCCGCTCTTACTTCCGCGGAGTTGTTCTTTGACCTTACCTGTTCCTCTACGGTGCGGCGCACTGTCTTCCCAGCCGGTGCCAAGTGCGCATGCGCAAGAAGAGGTGCTTTTTGTGAATGGTAAGGCGGTACCTGGGACACATGACAGATCCCAGAAGCCGCCGGACCAATCACAAAGCGCAAGTGCTTCTCGCTCATGCGCACTGGGCACCCGGCTGTCATGCCGAGCGACACTACAGAAGCCGGGAAGACAGCGCGTGGCTGGATAGAGGAACAGGTAAGATCAAAGAACAACTCCGCGGAAGTAAGAGTGGGTACATGTCAAATTCAGGTACCCGCTCCCCCCCCTCCCCAAAGGTCAGCAGTCATCTCCTGTACTGTGTCCCCAGTCTCTGGCCATCTCCTGTACTATGCCCGCAGTCCCTGGTCATCTCCTGTACTATGTCCGCAGTCTCTGGTCATCTCTTGTACTATGTCCGCAGTCTCTGGTCATCTCCTGTACTGTGTCCTCAGTCTCTGGTCATCTCCTGTACTATGTCCGCAGTCTCTGGTCATCTCCTGTACTGTGTCCTCAGTCTCTGGTCATCTCCTGTACTGTGTCCGTAGTATCTGGTCATCTCCTGTACTGTGTCCGTAGTATCTGGTCATCTCCTGTACTATGTCCGCAGTCTCTGGTCCTCCCCTCTACTGTGTCCGCAGTCTCTGGTCATCCCCTGTACTGTGTCTGCAGTCTCTGGTCATCTCCTGTACTGTGTCTGCAGTCTCTGGTCATCTCATGTACTATGTCCGCAGTCTCTGGTCATCTCCTGTACTGTCCGCAGTCTCTGGTCATCCCTGTGCTGTCCGCAGTCTCTGGTCATCCCTGTACTGTGTCCGCAGTCTCTGGTCATCCCTGTACTGTGTCCGCAGTCTCTGGTCATCCCTGTGCTGTCCGCAGTCTCTGGTCATCCCTGTGCTGTTCGTAGTCTCTGGTCATTCCTGTGCTGTCCGCAGTCTCTGGTCATCTCCTGTACTATGTCTGCAGTCTCTGGTCATCTCCTGTACTATGTCTGCAGTCCATTAGTTCAGAATTTTTTTTTCCTGTTTTCTGCCTCTAAAACCTAGGTGCGTCTTATGGTCAGGTGCGTCTTATGGAGCGAAAAATACAGTATATATATATATATATATATATAAATATATATTTTAGTATTGCTGCTATAGGGCGGTCGGGTAGCGGTTAATACTTTTACCGACCTTATAATAAAGCTTACCTGTTGGTAAAATGAATATCTCCTAAACGTGCACCGTTTGGGAGATATTAACTCTTTTCGGTAGCCGGCGCATGCACTCTGATGGAACAGCATACCCGTGCCGTTGCTTCAGAGCACTGTACTGTGGCTCAGGATTCCCGCGGGCATGCACGTTAATGACATCATCATGGCTCGGCCAGTCAGACGGCCGGAGCTCGCGGACCCGGAAGGAACACCAGGTGGAGATGGAAGCCCTGTCAGCAGTGACAGCACGCTGCTGAAGGGCTTCGTTTTAAGGTAAGTCCTTCATAATGTGCTAGTATGTGATGTATACAACTGTAGCACATTATGACAATACCTTGCAGGGGATTTATTTATTTATTTTTAACCTGCGGTTTACTACCGCTTTAAAGCTTTAAAGCTCTAAGGGATAACTAAACCCAAGAACAAAAACATAAAATATTTCAGATTACATAGTTACATAGTTAGTCTGGCTGAATAAAGAGAAAAGTCCATCCAGTTCAACCATAGAAAAAAAAGGTTACAATCCTATACCCACAGTTGATTCAGAGGAAGGCAAGAAAAAATCCCAGCAAAGCCAATCCAATTTGCTCCTGCAGGGGAAAAATTCCTCCCTGATCCCCTGAGAGGCAATCGGATATTCCCTGGATCAACTTTACCTATAAATGTTATATCCAGGTATATTCTGTGTATCTAAGAAAGAATCCAGGACTTTTTTAAAGCAATCCACTGAGCTGGCCAGAACCAACTCTTGAGGGAGTCTATTCCACATTTTCACAGCTCTCACTGTGAAGAAACCTTTCCGTATTTGGAGATTAAATTTCTTTTCTCCAGACGTAAAGAGTGCCCCCTTGTCCTCTGTGATGACCTCAGGGTGAATAACTCTACACCGAGTTCACTATATGAACCACTGATGTATTTATACATGTTCATCATATCCCCCCTTAATCTCCTCTTCTCGATAGAAAATAAATTCAGTTCAGATCAGATTACCAGTCCTTGGGTGTGGTGGCTGCCTTAAAGTGATTGTAAAGCTTCTGCTAGTGCTCACGTAGGAGCCACTTCCTATGGGGGCACTCATGCAGGCTCGATCTCGAGCCTCCTTTTCTGTGTATATAGACACAGTCAATGTGGCTCAAGTCCCCCACTACCTCATCACAGGATTTAATTGACTACTATCAATCTACCTTGTGAAGAGGGAGAGACAGGAGTGGCACAGTACTGGATCGAGATTGGGCTCAGGTAAGTATAAGGGGACACTGGGGGGGATCATCAACACAGAAGGGTTTTTACCTATCTAACATCCTTCAGTTGAAACATCTACATTCTTCAATTGCAAAATCAAAAGAGTCGGGCGGAGAATCTGATTGTATACAGCCCCTGCTTGGATATTCTGATAGCCGATTGTGCTTGCAGAATACAATAGCTGGCAGTTCAGATTTGTCCATTTGCCGTGTACATGGCCTGCAGGCTGAATGAAAAACATCTATTAGTTTATGGCCAGCTTTGATTTTTAGCAAGTACTGAAAATACTTGTTGATTTTGCCAGAAATGTAGTGGCCTAGTGTCTTCCCATGAGCTGAACTGCAAGCACAAATAGTGTTATCTTTCTTCTGTAAAACCCTCCACATGTAAGGGATATGAAGAGAGAAAGACATGTTTGAATCCTAGCCTCAGAGACAACCATGGCTCGTTCCATGGATACAGTGTGAGGCATGAGCGTAGCCAATCAGAGACAGAAAGTGTGAATTACCAGGTAAAAATAAAAGAGTTAGAAGCCTGAAAAAAAAGAAAAGAAATGCAGCCACCACATCTACAACTGGTAGGTTGCAATTAGTTTCATTTTGCTTTGGGATTTAGTTATGCTCTAATTTGCGTTTTAACCCAGCCCTCATTGCAACAGTCCTATTGATGCAAATCAAATCAAATCAAAATAAAATCTCTGTATAACCCCAAAGAAAAGTAAAACTTTCACCCAGGAAACTGCAAATATTATAAACCTTTTCTATGTGCCTTCCTCACACTTCAAATCCTACCCCACATTCCCAAAAACATATAAAACCAAAAACCAAAACTGTCCACAGTCCAAAGTATCCACACTATCCAATCTTCCAACTGTGATTGATGTCCAAATCGTCACTCCAATCCAAGGTACCTCAAACAAAATTTAAACTAAATATAGTGCATTACCTTTTAAACAATATAATATTCCGTGATTTCATGCACAAACACTAGTGAACAATGTAACCACACACAAAAAAAAAAAATTTATTTATAATATATAATTATAATTCTATAATATTAAGACCAAATGTGAAGTTCAAAATCCACACACTTCAACTCATGATATAGAGAATTAATCACTCCAAGTGAAATTCAACAAACCAAACATATACAACCAGTGACATAGTGCACTAAACCAAATGGGTGGCACCACTCTGTGTTAGGATAAAATACTATTACCCTAATTCAATTTGTACAGGCGTTTCAAACTTTTCCACATGTCAGATGGCTTTCCTCTTTAGGGGAGAATACACTGGGATCTCCCCGTTCCTCACAAGACAGAGAAGCGAAAACTCAGTAGAGTAAATGCAAAAAGATTTAATCATTAAGTAACTGCTTACATATAAGGTAAAAACCGTCCATCCTATGCAAGACCACATCCAAGATGGCCGCGATGCTCCTTCCGGTTTGCGTCTGACGTCACGACCATGACGCGTTTTGTCACTTCCGACTTTTTTCTTTCTTTTTTTTTTGTGTGGTTACATTCTTCACTAGTGTTTGTGCATGACATCACGTAATATTATATTGTTTAAAAGGTAATGCACTATATTTAGTTTAAATTTTGTTTGAGGTACCTTGGATTGGAGTGACGATTTGGACATCAATCACAGTTGGAAGATTGGATAGTGTGGATACTTTGGACTTTGGACTGTGGACAGTTTTGGTTTTTGGTTTTATATGTTTTTGAGAATGTGGGGTAGGATTTGAAGTGTGAGGAAGGCACATAGAAAAAGTCCTATTGATGAACTCCCACAGAAAACTTATGGTGCTGCAAACCTTCAATTTTTTATTAGCTGTGAGATGAAGGTATAAAGTCTATGCCAGGACAACATTTTACATGCCGTAGAACAGTGTTTCTCAACCTTTTTTCATTCAAGGCACCCTTTAAAATTCTGCACAATCTCAATGCACCCTTTTAAATTCTGCACAATCTCTCAAGGCACCCCAATCTAAAATGTAAAAAACTATTCTACACACATCCAGTACACCCAACGTTAGACATGATTTATTCTTCCAAAGCAAATACACCTTTGCACACTGGTACTGACCTGTATTCCAGTGTGTCTCATTTTCTCTCCATCACTCTGCTAATGTGACCCCAGTGCTGATGGAGAGGAGCACGGGAGGGCCAAACAAGGATGATGTGCATGCACCCGACATCCTCCATATCAACTGATGATGTCATTGGTTGGTAGGATGCTGGCAGCTAGAAGGTAAAAAAAAAAGTGCACAATGAAAAGCTGTGGCTTTGTGTACTAAAAGGCAGGATTGTTCCACGTGCTGGATTGTATACAATTTTTGGCCATTTTGCCTGAAGCAGCTTGAAGGCACCCCAGGGTGCCTGGGCGCCCTGGTTGAGAAAGGCTGCCGTAAAAAGCCATGAGATAAGTGAAAGTTCAGCACCAACATGGTATGACATAAAATAGCAATGCTGTATTCAATATCCATCGAGACATAAAAAAAAATCTATCCAGTGTAAAGATTGATGCAAACTTTGGGCTTAGTCATAATCAAAGTTTACACTTGAAACCCCCAAACACTTCCTGCAATCTTTTTTAATTTTATTTAGAAAACATTTTTTTTTGGGATATTTGGTTCAGTTACCGTGATGAGTTTTCTTTTGCTTGCAGCAGTGGCAGGTCCTGTATGCCACTTCTAACTTTATGTGGTGCTACTTTCATCTGCATTCTCTAGGGTATCAGATAATACGCCCTCAGGAGCCAGGTCCTTGATGCCCTGGGCTAACAGAAAGCTTGCTAAATGATACTGGGTGCTGGATCAGTGAACAGGACAAGTGGTGAAGTGTAAATCTTTCCTTATCTGCATGCTAGTTCCATGTCAGCATCCTAAAGCCTGGGCTACTTTTCTTAAGATGTCCTAGGTTGTAAAATAAAAATAAATAGCCCAGGCTGCATTACTCACCACCTTCCCAGCTCTGTCCCCCATAGTAATTCAATTCTGTCACTGAATGTCCTCGGTCAAAAGACTAAGGACATACTGTGAGTGCAGGACATCATGGAACTGGGGGAGGTGGGAGGGCCTCAAGGGGGGGGGGGGGGGGGGTTGAATGTTTCTCTGGTCAGGGCAGTAAGTTGGAGTTCAGCATATTAATTCCATAGACAACCAGGGAACTAGCATTTGCAGGTAAGGTATTGGTGTGGAGTGGTATGTTTTTGGTATCTGTTTGTAGGTAGTCATAGTTATAAGTATGACAACAATAGAAAGGCAAGGGATGGTCTTTGGTGTAAAACATTGGTGTTAAAAGGGTCCCTCATGGGAAGTTCAAAGGTGTACATTTATTGTATTTTTACAGATTGAAACAGCTTTCTTTTGGCTCTGAGCAGCTCGGGAGCTCTAGGGATATATAGAATTTTCCATGACCACATATAGAGCCAGGAATTCAGGCAGGCGAAGGAAAAAAACAACCACTCAAAGCAAAACTGTGATTGAGATCTTACTAGTGTAATATGGTCACATGGGTGGGATGTAGAAGCGTTTGCATGATTTACTCCATGAAATAAGGCCCTCTGCTGGCTAAAATTCTGTAGAGCAGTGTTCTCACAGTCAGTATTTCAGAAAAAAGTATTGCTTGCATGATGTGAAAAGCACCTTTTACATAAAATGAGATATACATAACTGTGGCGCTAAAGGATGATATTAGTTATGGTTTTATGGGATTACAGAACAGGATGTCCGCTGTGTGCTATGGCTTAGCCGGTATTCATAGCTGGGAGCGTGTCTGCATGGACTGATAACAACCTGACTTACCTGCCAACTTTGTTTCCTTATCAATACTTTATATGCCTGATCTCTGTGGTTGAAGCTCAGCTTGATTATATTGAAACAGTCTGTCCCTTGCTCACCATGAATGAGAACATATGAACAAGGTGTGTTATAAATTCAAGAGTTCCTTCCTTTCACCTCAAAACATAGCACAATTGTAACAAGTACACCCAAAAACATTATGCAATTTTTTTTGCATTCTTTAGTTATACATCTTTCATTACAAAAGCAATTGAAAAAAAAGGGAAGTGTGGGGCAGGTAATAGGGGTAGGTACATCAAGGAAGGCTAAGCCTTCTGTAAAGAACATGGGGGGCCTAACATTGTATCATCTACAAAAACAGGCCTGAAGATCTCATATAACGATAAAGTCCAAAGAACATGATAGAAATAGGTGGGAGGCCTGACATACGTCTGGCTTCGGATCAAGTATTTCAAGAGCAAAAAAATCCGGCCTTAGAAGATACAGGAGCTTGTTTCAAAGGGAAGTGAGTCTAAGCACTTGTTGGGAGCTTCTTCAGAGGTTTTCTAGACCCTACGATGCCCATAGAGCCATCTGATCACAGTGAGCATATACAAAGAAGGGGTAGAAAGAAGAGAAAGAAGAACAAAGAGAAAAAAATAAAAAGAAGGTGCCTCCGACAGGGGCATATCGTAACACTGGTGGGAAAAAGTTTTACAACTATAATCAGTTCGACACCAACAAATGAAAACTGACAGAGACTGGTGGTCCATACCCAGAGCAGCTGCGACATCAGTCCAGTGATTCAGCTAATAGATGTTTAAAGTCATCTGTACAGGAGAACTCATTCTAGCAGAGCCATGTATTTCAAAATGTTTTATGTGTATCTTTTATTGTGCTTGCGAAACTTTATAATGAAGCAAATTTTAACTCAAAGCCAAAAAAGCTGTTCTCTGGTATGTTCATAGCATGCAGTATAAGACAATAGTACACAGTATGTAAAAGAACTTCAACATTGAGGTGAGTGAGTGTTGTCACCCTTGGACAGGAAGTGGTCTTGGCAGAATCACTAATAGAAAATAAATGGAAAACAAGAAGCTGAAAAAAGAAAGCTAATGAAGCCACTTGATTCCAGGGCTGTCGCTATATACTGTATTGTTTTTGGATTTAGATATATTTTAATGTAAATGCAGGTTCATATAAATACATGTTAAAATAATTTTCCGTTTTTTTTATTTCTTGCAGTTTTTAAAGAAATAAAGATGGCAAGTAAAGTGTCCGCAGTCTGGATCCTCTTGTTTGTAGTGCCATGTGTGCAACTTCAAGGCACAAGTACAAAACCGACTTGGCCAACCTATAAAGTTCCCGTCATTATTCCAGAGGCTACAAATGGCTTGGAAAAACCTCACTTTGATGCAGTACCAAGGCTAGATGTGCCATGCTCCTGTGGTCCCGATTGCCACAAACATTTCCCAACACCGACGGTTGAGGACCTGAAAGAGAACATGGCATATGAAACCCTCTATGCCAACGGGAGCCGCACACTGACTGAAGTAGGCATCTACATTGTTGCCAACAAACCTGGGATTAAAAATGGGGCCGGCAAGTCCCGTCGGAAGAGGCAGATCTATGGCCATGACACTAGATTTAGCATATATGGAAAGAACTTCTTACTTAATTATCCTTTCTCAACATCGGTAAAGTTATCCACAGGATGTACAGGCACTTTGGTAGCAGAAAGACATGTCCTCACAGCAGCCCATTGCATCCATGATGGTAAAAGCTACGTTAAAGGAGCACAGAAGCTCAGAGTGGGCTTCCTAAAGCCAAAAGTAAAAGACGGAAGCAAAGTTGTCAACCACACATATCCGGGAACAGGGGACAAAATGAAGTTCCAGTGGATTCGGGTGAAAAGGACACATGTCCCGAAAGGTTGGATTAAAGGTAATGCCAATGATATTGGCATGGATTATGACTATGCTTTATTGGAGCTCAAAAAGCCACATAAAAGGCAGTTCATGATGATCGGAGTAAGTCCTACAGGTCGCCAGTTGCCTAGCCACCGAATCCACTTCTCTGGCTTTGACAATGACAGACCAGGAGACCTAGTCTACAGGTTCTGTGAAGTTAAGGATGAAACGTATGACCTTCTATACCAACAATGTGACGCCCAACCTGGTGCCAGCGGATCTGGAGTCTACGTCAGAATGTGGCGGAGAGATAAGCAAAGGTGGGAGCGAAAAATTATTGGAATATTCTCCGGGCACCAGTGGGTTGACAAAAATGGTGACAAGCAGGATTTTAATGTGGCTGTGCGCATCACACCCCTTAAGTATGCCCAGATATGTTTCTGGATAAAGGGAAACTATATAGACTGTCAGGATGGCTGATTCCTAATCCAAATACTTTGGAGTGACTGTCTTATTATTTCAAGAAAGGCCAAATATGGACAAAACCAGACATTGCTAAAGCATTCCACCAAACGGTTCAATGAATCCATTGTTTAGGGTGTTGTTAAGGAAGACTGGAATGAAACACTGAGACACAATGCTCGCTTAGATCTTTATACTTCACAAATACTAATAAGCGCAACGGTTGCACAGGACAGCTGTTGATGAAAGGTGTTAATATATTTTACAGAACGATGGATTTTTGCTTTTGTCAATTAAGTTTGTTTTCTTGTTTCTTACTGGGCGTCGGCATAATCAACCAGCATTGTTACACAAATTTGCAATATTGATTGGTGGATTTCTTTTAGAATCTAAGACATTGAGGATACAGAATGTCATTTGACGGTGATAGCTTGCCACACACTATATAATCTGCACTTTTCAGCTCTAAAATAGAATTGAAAATACTTGTCTGTTTTAAATTACTATTTCCGTACTGATGTTTGATTACTGCTGTGGATGAGCAACTGTATTTTTCCCCTAAAGTAGTTTTTAATCTCAGGATGTACAGAATATGCAGATGGGAGCTAAAATGTATCATTATGATGTCAAACTAGAAAGTGTTTAGCGAAACACATTAAGAGAGCAACATTTTGTTTTTCACATTACATGTACAGGATGATAAAAGGGATAAGGTTGGCACTGTGTAACTAGTTTTAAAGAGTTTGTCTATAGAAATAAGATATTTTCAGGTTATATACAGTTTTAAGAAGATTGTTTACTAAGCCATCTCTTGAGACAGTTCCAAGCTGTCCGATAACAACCAGAGAACCACTCCACTACTGTTTTTTAGTTGTCTGAATTTAGACAGCTAGTAATGATTGTTAGAGTAAATTCATTTATCTTGGAAATGGTTTCAAGGGCAGTTACCTTTTAAGCTGCAGGGCAGAACAACAGGTTCACTTTAATGCAGGCCTCACCAGCAGCACATTCCTACTGTTTGCTTCCCCGCTACACATGCAGACACCAGGAATGCAAAGAAAGTCCTGTGCAAGCTACAAGTTTCAATGTAGATAGGGCTAAGGATTGGGGGGATTGGTCCAGTGCTGTCAAATGGAGTGAGTCACATGCTCCACCATACCCAAAAGTACCAGCTATTTCTTTGGACTGGAGCAGCAGGTAAGTAAAGAAAAGGTGACTATATGCTGGTGGAGAGAGGGTATTAAGGCAAACGTGTTGCTTTATCCTTATGTGAAAAGCACAGGATTTCTTTAAGGGTAGCCTAAAACAATATCTCAGGATATGTGGCTCCTGGCTGCGGTTGAACTATCAACAAGCTTCATCTACATTTTGGCGACTCCAGTTGCTAGATTTTCTAATCCTATATTCACAACTCTAGTTTATATTAGCAGGCAATATGTGAAGGTCTCCAACATGCTGTTGCGGCTTTTTGAAACTCAAATTATGCCAAGAAACTTGCCATAAAACTCGATTTCTGTGTGCTGGTGGGTGTAATGGGGTAGCTGGAGCCAGGACGTCTTGAAAGGAAATACAGTATTGCTGCATAAATCTCCAAAATAAAAAGCCAGGGTGTGATTCAAACCCAAACTACTCAAAATAAAAAATATTGTTGGACCTCCAGCCTTACTTTGGGTCTTGGTTGGCCAACATAGGTGTGGTCAAACGTATCCAGTTAAATATCTCACATAGGGAAAACCAGAAGGGATCAGTGTAATTCAGACACAGATATGATAATCATTAGTTGCATCCTAACTGTTAAATCTAGAACTGATAAGCTAATTTTTAAGATGGCTTCATGTAAAAATATATCTACACAACTTTTGTTGTTAGCCCCAGAAGATTGCATCAGCTGGTTGGTTTCGAAATTCCATGGTCCACCTATGTTGCAGCTCCCGCCACCCCAAATAAAAAAATGTCAATTAAATGCTATGAAATAATAAAACAATAAAAAAAGGAAATAATACCCCAGCTTCAAGCCACCGCCAGTTGGGGGTGATATCACTGGGCCTACTTATGGGATGTCAAGGATCCCAAATCCCATGGGAATGAGCTCCTGCATAATACTGGTGTACACAAGATCTGCGTCTACAGGTTTCCAAAGATCCGAAGAGAAGGTTCAGTAATGTTACTACAGGAAGGGCCCAGAAAGTGAATAATCCTTTTTGCAAATATGTTATTTCTTTGTAGCTTTCAGACTTTTTTTTATTCATGGGATAGAGTGCTGCAACATACACAGATGACTTCTGATGTAATAGGTTATGCAGTCCTCTAGGTAAAGTACTGTAAAATGTGTTGGTCCTAAATATTTCTGCATTTAGTTAGAATGCGATAACAATTCCTATCTAAATAATTAACAAAGTGAACTTCTTTTGGTGAAAACCATACTGCATATGCAACTTTGTTGTGCATTTAAATGGTTCTAAAGGCTGAAGGTCCATGCATGATGGCGAAAAACCTTCAGTGTGCAGCTCCCCCCTCAGCGTCCCTAATACTTACCTGAGCCTGATCGTGATCCAGCACTGTGCGCAAGTTCCTCGCCTCCCTCTCTCCTCATTGGCTCAGACATAGCACCATTGGCTCTTACCGCTGTCAATCACAGCCAGTGAGGAGGGGGCGGGGCCGCTCCACGCTGTTTATGCCTTATGGACGTACATGGCCAGCTCGGGAGTGAGCACGCACAAGCTGCTTCCTCTGGGGGCACTTGGCAGGGGAGAGGGGCCTGGAGTGCTGGCAGGGAACCCAAAAAAAGGAGGAGGATTGGGGCTGCTCTGTGCAAAACCATTGTACAAAGCAGGCAAGTATGACATGCTTGTTATTTTAATAAAAAAAACCAAAGCTTTACTTCCACTTTAAGCTAATAGATGATGTTAGGCTTATAATATAAATAGTTCTAATGTAAAGTTGCATGCAGACTTTAAAGAATGTTCCTTCCATCTAGCCATTTTCACAGAAGATCACTATTGTTCCCCCTCAAACAAGCCAGGGAATAGCACTGGCCCCCCACCCCCTTCCTTCTTGATACAAGCATGTAAGCTTACACAGTGCATTAGAAATTGTCTGTTGGTGTATGACCACAGAAGTGCAGCATTATGTTGCACATGGGCTTTGCTTTTTACAGGCTGAAATTTTCATATTTGTCTTCCAGAGCATCTAAGTTTTCCTTTAATGGTTTCCTGGACCCTAGTGCGGAACCCTCACCTCATCTCTGATTCACTATTCCAGTTTGATGTTGGTAACTCAGATTTGTGTTGACCAGAGTTGTCATTTACCATCTGCTGGATTCATTGTAAGATTTTATGGAAGGTCAAAGGCAAACATGGAGACATTGATAAACAAACTAAAACACAGCAAAGCCTGACTCATGGTCCTTGATTGGTCTTGGCGATACAGATCACCCATAAGAGCTCTGATTGCTAAGGTCCATCTAAATCTGAATAAATCTTAATAATGGCAACAACCAATCACTGATTGGCTCATCCTTTAAAGCTGAACTTCACCTAAAAATTGAAGTACTGATCCCCTCTTTCTCTCCCTCCTCCCAGGCTTCTAACTGTAGTTGCAGCTTTTTTTGGGGAGGAGGGCAAATACCCTTTTTTGTCAGTACCCGCTTCAACTTCCTCAGTCCACACCTAGGCAAGGATGCCCCGTCGCATTGGGGCTGTGAGACATCAGTTAGTCACAGCTTGCCTCCCAATTCTATGGATGAAAGCATCAGGGATCCACAGCAGTGAGAAGAATTGGCTGCAGGGAAGACGGCGTTGGACTCCATGGACTGGTAAGTACCAGTATTTGTACCTACTGACTTTTTTCACAACTGTGGTTGAAGTTTCTCTTTAAAGCAGAATTAAACCACCACAATAAATAAAGGATCCTAGGAGTGTTATGTATGAACAGCATAATAGCACATTTTGGTGGACTTATATGGCAAGCGATTGCCTCCAACTTTGCAGTGTCAGTGCTCCCATCCATCATGGGTGGTTCCATCTTCTCCAGGTCTTCCTTATGGGTTTGGACTCTTCAACGGCTAAATTGGCCATGCCACGATGAAGTTGTTCCCACATAGGCGCACAGGAATCACATCATCACATTGTCATGCCGTAAATATATAATAACCTACACATGCGTGACTCAGTGTGCACAAACACTGACAGGAGAGGAGAAGAGTTTATGATAAGAGAGACCTTAAGGCTCGGTTCACACTGCCTCGACTTGGGATCCGACTTGTGAGATCCCAAATCACTTGACATGTGAAATCCCATGTTAGTCAATGAAAGCTGTCTTTATAGCATTACTGAAGTCACTCTGGACTTTAGAAAAGGTTCCTGTACTACTTCAAGGCAACTTTTATCTGACTTGTGCCTATTGACTTTAATGGAAGTCACCTCCAAGTCTGATGCTCATCTATACTGATGTGATTTGGATCCGACATTACAGGAAGATCACCCAGGCAAAGTCGTATGGCATGAAAGTCACGCATCAAGACGCATCAAAGTCGTACTCAAATCACATCAAGTGTCCAGCAAATCGACAGGAAGTCACCTTGCAAAGCCACACTGGAAGACTTTCAGGTCGCAGTAGTGTGAACCAAGCCTTAGGTTCTCCCATGTCATAAAAATCCTACCTGTCAGCTTTCTTCTAATTTTTAGGTTTAATTCCACTTTAAGTGTACAACATATTCTCCAGTGTTCTGTAGCAATTATTCATCCCTTTTGGGATTATGGTGCTTTTTTATGTGCTTCCAGTAGTTTACACCATTGTTGGTGTGATTTATTTACTATGTTTCTGTCCTACATAATAGCAAGCTGATGTTGTATTCCGGTGTACAGTTCTCCCATATGTTCCTCTTTGACTAGGACAATGGTGCTGAACCTTCTAAGAAGTTTGGTCCCCAAGTTCTGGGGTCCTTTTATTCTGGGGAACCCAAAAATGTGTAGATTCAGTAGAGAATCGTGCCAACTTGACAGTGAGGGACTATGAAA